AAGTTTTTTTTTTTCTATAAATTTAGATGAATGTTCAAGTACAACACATACATTACAGTGACTTATTACTCCTCGATAGCGAAGTACACCATAATGATAATAATGGTCAACAGGTATATAGTATACTATTGTATATATTATACACTGGGATATTGAGAATCGATGGTGCAGGATGAATGCCCAATTTCAATATGATGGGTAACGCACAATTCCCCGATCGCGCTACTTATGAAACCGAATAATAYWTAGTATATAATAATGCGCAATGATAAGTGTAGTATTGTAAGTATAAATATATTACAGACGTCTCTTATATTTCGAATTAAACAGTGTCGTAGGCATAGRCGCAAATCACTCAAAAATATTGAGGGGCCTAAARCACCCAAAAAGTTTTAGAGGAAGAAAAGCTGTAACGGACTTAGTATTCTCGTTAAATATTGATACTTCTCCTTATATCGGTTACATTAATTGATAGGTATCTCTGTAAATTAAATATATTAAAGATWTAGATMAATATTATATAGAGGTGTGAATTTGTAGGAAAATCTGTTTTTAGATTATTGTAWAACACAACTGTCTTAACTCTGACTTTAAATTAAATACAGACAAATTCAATCTAGAATCTTTTTATTTAAAWTTTTTTTTGAATCTTAGGTCTGTTTRACAAATTTTTAGCCAATTTTTCATCCTTTATTACCTACTTTTTTGATATTTTTACATTAGCCTATTTATTAAAAACTTTTTACTCGTATTTGTAAGGTATTTCACTGCATTAAAATAGCCATAATTACAAATTATAATAATATATCCAAATTCTATCTTGACCCAAGGTAGAGACATTTATTCATGATTTTTAGTTATAATTTAAGATAATCACGAGATTCGGGGTATTAGCATTAAAATTAAGGTACTAAGCACCCAGCAGCCCTGTGATTTGTGACAATGGCCGTAGGTATACAAATATATAACTACCCAGTATCCATTGTAGGATTTATCACTGATTTCAATCGATTATCAGTGAAACCCAATAAAAGTTTTTTTCGATTAAATGTTTGGGTATACTCGAATTGCCTCCGAAACACCCGGAGGCAATTCGAGTGAAAAAAGATATACCTACCTGAATTTGGGAGGCAATTCGAGTGTCGCCATATATTTATCAGAAAAATGTATGCACAGTCTATTTACTAAAATATTTATTTTATTGTTATTTTATGTATTGACTATTTATTATTTTTATTATTATTTATTATTATTACACCTGACAGTCTATTTATTAAAACATTTATTTTATGTATTATTTTTTCAGTTTATTTAATATGTAAAGTTATACCTAAATCGATTAATTATAACTATCGTAGGTGATTCTAGTACAAGAGGGTCACTACTTTTTCGACTACTTTTTCTTCGGGATGCAATTCGTGCAACCTTTTTAAAAAAAAAAAATCACGGGAGGCAATTCGAGGGTCAGGTGGGAGACAATTCGTGAGCATCCAAATATATTTCCTAACATAACATCGGATTCCCAGAAAAAATACACATTACTCATTGGTTAACTAAACAATTTTAAGTCAAATTTTGATTGCTAATTACGATAAGGATACACGGGTGGCTACTAGTTGCGTCCCGCGGTAAAAATTTCTTCCCAATTGCGGCCCGAGTTTTTTTGGGATGCATAYGAATTGCAGCCMGAGTTTTTTTGAGTTACATATGAATAATTGCGTCCTGGAATTTAAAATTAAATTAATWATATGTATGTAATTATATTTTATTATGTTACAATATGCATGCATTTATGCATTGATTTTCATTCAAATATGTAAAAATAT